CTTGCTGATTGAGCCAGCATATGGCTGACGTCTCAGAGTATCCTAAAACTCTGGCATACACTGAAATTTCTATGCTTTTTTTTTCAATTTTAGGCGTTTAAATAGAGTATTCATAATGAGTCCAGAACTTATGTCCAACGACAGCCTAACTTACGCTTAACCCACGACAGCGTAATGCCCATGAAATGTCACAAACCAGTATCCTTAGTGGACAGCATTGCGTCCGGAGTCGCCTGGACTTGCCCAGTCTGCATAAAAAGATTAATTTGATCACCAAAAAATAAAAAGAAAGAAGATTTGCAGTTGCAGCCGATTCAGCGTTATGTCTGCTAGGAAATTTGTTGGTCTTGGCCGTGGGGGTGAATGTAGGGAGGATCCATCACACACACCTTCTCGCTCACCCTATGATTGGGATGCAATCTTGAGGAGAACTGACGGTTTCCTCCTGTGAATCCTCTTTTATACAAAAATGCTGCCAAGATGCCATACAGTACAGTAGCTGTAAGTTGGACACACCTTCAGCAGTCGTCTGGAATATGTCAAATACGTTGATATGCGTTGGAGATAAGTTCTTGATAAGTTATGCATCAGTAATGCACAGGTTACTCATAGGTTTTGGATAAACTAGACGCCACAGCTTATAAGTAACTTACCTGTAACTTCTGTCCACGTATGCCATACGCTGGCGTCGACATACGGTGAACAGAGAAGTTTTTTATTTCTCGACGTACTCGCCGTATGTCGATGCGTTCCAGCGTGCTTCACCTTGTTCATAACTTATACAAAACGTACCCATAACTTATCAAACGTATGCCAGTGTTTTTGCAAGATTTTCCGTATGTCAGGCATATGCTGGTCCAAATTGTCAAGGTGTGACAGGGGCTTTAGGTATTGGTGCGATGTTACCTGCTCCTTGATATTGTGCAGTTCCTCCTGTAGTTCCCCCATCCTGCGTGCCAGCTCCTTTTTAACATGTTGCTCCGACTGGATTGCAGTGGTCAGCTCCATGTTCTCATTAGTCTGTCATAATGATGGAGTAACCAGAAACTTGGCTTTAAAATAAACTCTCAGTCACTTTTATGAAGTACTTAGGTTATAAATGGGCTTCATTAGCTTCAGTTTTTATAAAGCAATAGAGAAAACAAAGACACACATGAGAACACACTTAGCCCAAAGGGAAACAAACCAAGATGATAAAGTGAGCAGAAACAATAAGCTTAGTGAAACAGATTAGTAGAAATTTGGCCTCACTAGTTTAACAAAGCCATTTTGTAGCTCAGCCAGCTGGTCTTTCAGTGTCCGGTTCTGGGTGAGGGCCCGGCTAATCGTGGCCTTGTCTGACTGAACGTCCTCCAACATGCGACGGCGGTCCTCCTCCTCCTGAACTTGGCTTTGCATCTGCCGCTCCAACTCTCCCAGTCGTGCTTCTTGCTCTGAACAAAGGCGACTTAGCTGCTCATTATCTCGAAGCTGGAGGAGACATTTCAAGAAGAAAAAGAAAAGATTTTGGTATAAGAAACATCTAATTTGACTTGAAGAATATGAACAAACCCATGTTAAGATGTTTAGACAACAGAATACATACCTGTGCCTGGTACTGTTCAATAATTGCATCTTTCTGCTGTTGTAAACTACTCAGTGCCTCCTGCAGAGCTACCTCTCCCTCTGATGGTCCTGACGGCTGAGGCTCTGTGTTCTCTTGGGCTTCCTTCTCCACCGACAATAATGCTGTAAGCGAAAAAACAGTCATATTTCTGTGTATATATATTTTTTTTAGTAAAGTACTGAGAAAAGAAGCTGTGTAAATGTCTCACCTGCAGTATTTTTTAGCTCTTCAATGCTGGCCTCCAGCTCTTGGACCCTGTTGATGTTTCTGTCTCTCTCTTCTGCCACTAATGAGACCTTCAAGCACAGAAAGTTAAGAAACATTAGAAATAGTTACGTTTTCAATATTACAGCCAAACATATTTTATAGTACCTGTGCGAGCAGCTGCTCAGTCTTGTCCTTCCACACACGGCCCTCTTCCTGGATTCGTTCCACATAACAATCTCTTTCTGTCTTGAGCTGACCTATAGACTCCTGAAGCTGCAACAACAGAGATATAATAAGTAAGCTTCAGCTGAAAAAACTCAAAGTTCACCTTTATGTTTTAAGGATCATGTTTAGAATGCCACAAAAAAGGATCAAGACAATTTGTTTTTGCCGATTTACTGTCATCTATCATGAGTGGTAGCTTTAGATTAATCTCCAAATCTCTAAGAAATATTGAAAGAATTATATTATTTAAAAAATGCTACTCATGGCCTGTACTTGTATAGCGCTTTTTCAAGTCAGGAGACTTGACCAAAGCGTTTTACACGACATTCAGTCATTCACCCATTCATGCACACACTCACACACTGATGGTGGCAAGCTACATTGTAGCTACAGCTGCCCTGGGGCTCACTGACAGAAGTGAGGCTTCCATACACTGGCACCACCTCTGACCACCATCAGGAGACAATGCAGGTAAAGCGTATTTCCCAAGGACACAATGACACTGAAACCCGGGGCTCGGGCTTGAACCGTCAACCCTTTGATTTCAGGGCAAACTCATGCCATATGAAGTCTTTAGTCTGTTCATAACCCCCCCCCACTCCAGCTTCACTCCATGAATAAATAATAAAAAATAAAAACTCTAAGCACAAATATTCCTCAGATTCCTGATTCAAGTTCTATTCTTTATTTCTGTTGTAGATGTTAAAAACGAATTCACTGAATTTGAGTTCAAAACTTGATACCAAATTAACACAGCCTCGCAGGTGTGAGTAACAATGATCATGGGCTTAATGTTTCATAACAAACATGCTAGAAAATGGCGCTTCAAACCTGGTGATTGCGTGACTCCAGTTGCTGCTTTTCCTCCAGCAGTGACTCGAATTTTTGGTTGAAAGTCGGGGAATCTGACTGGCTAGAGTACTAGAGAGAAACAAAAAACACATTTTTCATTTCAATGTAAACAAATAAAAAAATGTGTTTATAATATGATTGAACATCATAATCTCAATAATGAAAAGCAAAAATAAGAGGGAGACATGTTTGAAGAACATAGTATTGAGTCTGTACCTGTTGCAACATGAGGTCAGCCATCTCCAGCCTCTTGTGAAGATCATCTACCTCCAGCCTCATCGCAGCATTATCGTGCGTAATCCGCCTTATCTGTTCGGACAGCTCTGAACTCTGCTGCTTTGACTCCTCACTTAAATTACTGTCAACACACAAACGCACCTTTTATTTAACTTAGCTGATACTTTCAGGACTTGCGATGCCTGCATACCTCTGTTTATTACAAAAGGAAAATTAGCTGATTGCAGTTGAAGGTCTTAAAAATTGAATCAAAAACCTTTTAAAAAAAGGTCAGAAAATATCTAAAGGTTTAAATTCACAGCAAAAAATATGTTATGTGCTCAGATAAACTAAGATAAAATAACTTACTTGAGTCTCAGCACCTCTAGCCTCAAGTTGTCTCTTTCTTTTTCAAGCTCTTTGTTTTGCTGAAGATAAAAAAAAAAAACACATTTAGGACTGAAGTATGTCTTTTCACATGTATAGTATCAAACAGAAATGAAAAAAATTTAGCATAAAAAGTACAGTTTATTAGTTGGTTTACAATAAAGTATGTTACCCTCTCAAACTGCTTCTGTTGTGTGGAGACACTAGAGAGAGTTCGCTCCAGCTCTGAAACTCTCTGCCTGGTTGTCTGCAGACGGTTATTGAGCTCCTCTGCTTCAGCTACACACACCGGGTCATAGCACATCATTACATGCATGAAAACATGGTGAACTTAAGTCTTTCCAAATTAACTTATTATGCAGACCTACCTGTTTTTTGCCGTGCGGCCTGTTGTGTGTACTGTAGGGCTGTTTGTAATTCTGATTTCTCTGACACTAGTATCCCAATAGTTTGGATATGAACCTTGAAGAGGACAAACGAACAAAGAAAAGATTTCTTATTGAAAGGGACAACAGAATATCAAGACAAAAATATTTGTTCAGGAAAATTCATACACAGGTGATAACTTAATACTTTAAAGGGCAAAAAGATAATAAATCTGAAAAAACAAAAGTATCACATAGAAGAAAAACATGAAATAGTTTTTACACATTTAATTCTGAGCAGTGATGAAGAGAGGATTTTGGATTACATTACCCTTTATTCATGAAAAATTTAGACCATATAGTTGTGCCCCCATTTTTTTCCTGTTGCTCATAAAGAATGCTTGAAAGGAAAAAAAAAACAAAAAAAGAGACCTATTTATCTCTTTACCTGTAACTGCTCCCGCATTGCTCCTTGCTCCTTTGAAAACTTCTGTTCGAATTCCTTTCGTTCCTACAGCCCGGAAATGACAAAATGCATGACTGACCAAGGAAAAAAAAAAAAAAAAAAAAAAAGATAATAGATAAAGCTCATAAAAAGGAAGAAAGAAAAAAAAAAAACCCTCAAACCTTTTGCAGCTGATCTGTGAGCTCCTGAGTTTGATGTACCTGTTAAATCAACATAGTATAAATTGGGATTAGAAATAAAACTTATGAAAAAAAAAAATAGCTCCAACATTAGTACAGTATTTTATATAATAAAGCATGGTTAAATTCTGAAGAGGAGTTTACATGCTGGCAACAAAAAAGCTATGGAAAGGAGAAAAATAGACCTGGTTGGTAATGTGTAAATATTTCCTGTTTGCCTAAAGTTTTAAGGTTATTGATGTAAGGGCACTAAACTTGCTAAATGACCCTTAAACACCATGCATCTTCTACCTGAGTGATAAAAGACCTATTCCAATATGCATCCTAAAGACTGCTTTCTGGATAAATGCCAATCCACCTGAGTAATGGAGAAAAGTTAAAAGATAAGTATGGTGGCCTGGTGGTTATGATAGCATGCAAAGTGCATTACAATGCATAGAGTAATGCAAATAACTGAAAGTGAGGGTGGGGGGAACACGATGCGAAAGAAAGGACACAGGTATGCATAAACACAGCTTCTTACCAGCTGCTCTAGCTTGGTATTGAGCTGAGAGTTTGTTAGCTTGCTAGATTCCAGGGCGGCTGCCAGCTCCTGGTTCCGACTCTATCACGTGCACACATGCATCCGGGAAAAAAATAAACAAAAAGCCACGGATAAGGTGAAGGAACAAAAGTCAAACAGAACAGAGGGGAGGAAGATATATATTCAAATGTGAATTATAAACATGGAGAAAAAATAATATAACTGCTAAAAATGGCGTGTAATATGCAATCAATGACGGAAAATGGGACATAATTAAAATAAAAGACTAGTTTTAAAGTACCTAATTAAACCAGACCTGGAGAGAGTAAATTCAAATCCTAATCAGAAATTTGTGAAAGTGGATTTAAAATGTACAAAACAGATTTCTGATGTAAAACAAAAAAACGTATTGCACCTTACCTCCAGTTCTACCGAAGGTACGGTCTCCCCGTTTATATAGGGGGCAGATGTTGACTGCAATGACAAGGAAATTGTAATTAATTGTGGCATCAAACTCAAACATGATCACATGCTTTAAATATCTGTGATATAAAAGACAATAAGGGGATAAAATATATCTTTTCCAATTTATTCAGTCTCTGCAGTCAGTTTGTTGTCCTTTCTTTGAACTGGAAGAACTTAGCGTAAATGCATCATGTTGTTACTGTTGACTTTCCAGATGCAAACATATTTAGTGAAGATGCTTTAAATCTGATAAACACACCAGGTGATGGAGACAGTGTGCCTTTGAGAAGGACTAACAGAGCTGAAACTGCTTCCATTGCATTCTTGCAAACAATAGATGCAACACACACATACACAGTGGCTCAAAATGTAGACTGGCAGGGTGTTTTGTTTGAAGCCTAACACAGCATGACAATGTATTAAACAGAAAGAGTGAGGGACAGACAGACGCAGGATGACTGGCCATAATAACGTACCTCAGAGACCAGGCCATTTAGCTGCTGCGAGATCTGCCGCAGGCTCTCTGTGGAAGACAATGGTCTGCAAAACATATGCCAGATGAGGCAAATTAGAAACGTTCTTGTTTTAAGCTACAAGCAGCAATAAGGATGCACTTTAAATGAGAGAGAAGGGTAAAATCAGCATTACACAGATGTATCAGTGTTAAAAAAGTAAGAAATATATTCTACAGGTACACCCAAAAATGATGGGAATTAAGGTAAACAAAAACGGTTTTGCTGTATTTCAGAATTTAGCAAAATAAAAGGTAAAACTCAACCGTCTACATCAAATGCAAAAGTAAACAATCTTTCCCCCTTTTTGAAGGTTAAACCAAAAATAGAATAGTCCTGAGGAAGGTATGCTAAATCTATTTAACAAGGCTGAATAAAAAGGTGTATGTATTTTAGAAACCTAAAATAACTCACCTATTTTCCTCCTTTAAATTACGATTACCATTGGTATCAGAGAAATCCTGTGCATAGAAAGATTTAAAACAGAGAGGAATCACAAAAAAAGCACTTCATGTGTAATTTTCTATTCTAATGCAAGAAACCAGAACTCCTGACAGGAACACGAATCCTTTGGCTGATAATGTTTTATGTTAACTTGTCATATAATGGAAGCTTAGATGTGGTTTAAACAGTAAAGACAAAAGCGTGCAGACAGAGAACAAGACACACCTGCAGCTCAGTGTTGTGACTGACGAACTCAGAGTTAGTAGCATTAGCGCTAGCAGAGTTAGACACAGGTGAGCCACGGCCAGACTCGCTGTGCGGCTCCTCCAGCAGCTGAGGAACAGGAGACCCCGCGGCCTCCATGTCAGCAAACATCTGAGGTAAGACATACACAAAAGTAGCAGCTGTTTTATTCTAAGGGAAAAATCTGTAAGAGGCAACAGAAAAAATAACAATAATCTAAAATCTAGCATGTAAATACAGGTTTAGGTCTATTTAATAAAAAATAATTTAGAGGGGTGTAAAACTAAACATGGGTGCGTTAAACTGTTTCATGATGTCATGTTTAGTTTGGTCCAGGCGTGCACCGCTTATACCCTAAAAATAAACATATTTTATCCAGCGAGACAGAATTAATGTTCCTAACAATGTTTTTAAGGAAGGACATGATTAACTCTTGCAGGCGTGATTAACAGCATTTCCGTTTTTAAGACCCTCCCACCTATTTAGCTTCTCTTGCCAGGGAACGTTATGACTTAGTGGTTTAAATTAACTTTAGGGAAACACAAAGGGCCAAAGTTGTCTGTCGACATTTTTTCAATGATGCTGGGTATGCAGCAGGCAACACGTCTAACTTGTTAACACGCTCAAAACGACATCATGCAAATGTGAATGTCTCTCATAAAGGGAAGAAGGAAATCAGTTTGGTGTGAAGCCTGATAACAGCAGCATTTAAACAAACTTTAGCTGGTAATTCAGATCTTAACAAAGCAATAGTACAGAATAAAGGAGTTAAACTACACTAACAATGTGTAATACAGGTTATTTATTGCAAGAAGTGCAGTTTATTTGAAATATTACCCAAATTAGTTGCTTTTTTATACAAATACTGTATTGTCTACTTGGCATATTTTAAAAACAAACAGTTTTAAGTCTTTATCTTCATTATTATTTGTATAGAAAACTAAGCAATCAAAGCCCTCCTTGAAAATAAAATTTGACTGCAGCATACTGTTACACCCCTGGTAGTTACCAATAAATGTCTAACCCTATTGTGCAAATATTTAAAGTTAATGTGTCATGTATTTAAGTTGATTGAAATAAGCATTTTATTTTTTTTTGTCCAGACCTGCCATAAACATTCCTTTATAGGAATCAGGCAAAGAATGTGTAGCTGCCAACCAGTGACACCAAACAAAGTAAGGTTAACATTTCTGAAAGCACTGAAATACAATGAGAAAAGAGTCCTGCATACTCCACATACTAAACTGTTTCAAATGTTTATTAAGAACATTAAGTTGTGTTTAAAGTCCTGGAGTTCAAGCAAACTTACGCACATTCTTGACCAGCAATATATAAAAAAGATTTTTACAGCAAGGCATGCAGAGGTGAGGAAGGAAATAATAAAGCAGAAACAGAGGGACAGAGCCTCACCTGATAGTTGCCATTAGGTGGGATGACTATGCCATTGCTTTGACTAAGGGCTTTCAGAATACTGTCAAACTACAGCAGGAAGAAACAGCAACAGAGAGACAGAGAGAAATTACAGGGCAGAGGGCAATTCAGAAGGTGACAGAAAAACAAAAAACAGAAGCATCTAACACGGAAGGAAGAGCTGCAGAATGTGAAGCAAATATAAATAGACTCATGCGAAAGAAGAAGATATGTTGCCAAAATCATCATTTGCAGTCACAATAAAGTCTAAATTACATTGGAATTAAACTGAATAAATTTGATTTCTCTTCTTTCTTTTTAACATGAATTCTACACATTAAAATTGATCTTAATTTGGGTAAACAACTTACAATTATGATAATCTTAGACTTTCTCAATCTACAATAATTATCCTCATAGAAGGAATAGCAAACAGGGTATGAAAGCAGCGGCAGTAATGAAACAAAGCAGAGTCAGTAATCAACAGGAAGAAGTAACATATGAACAGAGAGAAGACCAGACTGAAGTCTTCTCTCCATGTAAAATATGATGCAAAGGTAGAGATTATTACTTTACAAATGTTTCCAACCCATTCAGAGTAATGGGAATATCTTTGACTGCTGCAGAGTCAAGTCAGTGTTATTGTAACAGTGAGAAGTACAGCGACAGCTGTCTAAAGAAGGGGTGTGAAGGCAGGTCAAATGTCATGACGTAAAGCCCCGTTATGTCTACGTGCTAACTGAAAGCACGTCCTCAATCGCCTTATTAATCTGAGACCTTTAAATTGGAAAGCAGCTTGACTTAAATGTTTGGTAGCAACACACTGTTTTATTTACACTTTAAAGAAAAACAATAATGAGTTTACAATAAGTAACTGTTATAGTTACCAAGGTTGTTAGAGGCAGTGTTTAAAGTTTGATAATTGTATGAGACTCAACAGGCAGATAAAGGATGAAATGTTTATTTTGTCAATTGATTAAACTGTCTATTTTTGTATTATCTCATTAATAATACGAGTGCAAAAGCTGCCTTTTATTCAGAATTAAAGCCAAGTGAAGCTAAAGCTCTGCCACCTGTGCAGTTATGGATAGAGCTTATTCACAGGCAGAAAAAGTCTTTTCATACTCAATCATTATTTGTGTGTGTTTTTTTTTTTTTTTACTTCAGTATAATCACTGATCTGAATGGGTTGCCCTTTCAGCCAATGGCATGTCTGTATATCTCTAGTTAGCTACATGATTACTGAAATCAGCTGACAATTATTTCAGTAATGTGAGCTGCACAGTGAAGCAGAGGGAAGCACTGTAGCCTTGCAGCAAGCCGGGTTCTGGGTTTGATTCCCTGCCAACTTCTGCATGGAGTTCGCATGTTCTCCCCGTGCATGTGTAGGTTCTCTCCGGGTACTCCGGCTTCCTCCCAGTTTTAAAACATGACTGTCTAAATTGTCCTGAGATACTAGTGTGTCTGCGCATGGTTGTACGTCTCTGTGCTGCCCTGAAACTGGCTGGCGACCTATCCAGGGTGTACCCCGCCTTTTGCCCATAGATTCACTGAGAGAGACACTGGCCCAACCGCGACCCCGATGGAATAAGCTGAAGAAAATGGATGGATGGATATTTCACTAGTTCACTATTATTCTTTACACAATTAGCTACATAAGAAATGTGGACATGAATCAATGAATGTTTCAGCATATTTAAGAGCAGGTTTATCTTTTTTATCATCTAAATATTAAGTATACACTACTATAGTGTACGACTATACACTATAGAGTATATAACATTACCAATTATGTAAAAAATGTGGTAATGTAACATTTGCTTAACTTTATTGCGAAATCCGCGACATAGCTCTGCATTGGGCTACTTAATTTGTATTCAACATACAATGTAGGAAAAAAATTGTGTTACCAAACACCAATGGTTGAGTTCCACTAAAAGCAATTTACAGCGGTTTGTTTGGCCACATCCTCATGCTGTAGGACGCTTGACATTTTGCTAGGAGTTTGCATGGAGGGCAGCAATGCTCCACCTTCTTCCCTTCATGGCGTCATCACATATAAGGAGTTTCTTGGTGCTTGCTGGTATCAGATCAGCATTGCGTAACTGGATTTTTATCAAGTGCTTCACAGTGCATTACAGCTGGATAACATCCATGGTAGTTCCGTCTGACCTGGACCCAAAACGGTTATGCTGCTCCAGGGGAGGACCGCCAGGACAACAAAGGTATGGTAAGAACGCGTTCTGGAGCTGAGGCTAAGGGAGGATGGTCGAAGAGTGGACAAGGGTACCTGTGCATAGGAAACTCTCTTAGCTGTAATCACCCTAACCCTGAAATTCAACATCCTTCGTCACCACCCTGCTGCGCCCCAGACCGTCTGAACAAAGCAAAGCCTACAACCTCTGCTGTTCCTCCCGTCTTGCTCTGCTCCGATTTCTTCGGAGTTTTAAGGAGAGCATGCGCAATAATTAATTAATTTAATATGACATTAAAAAATCTCCCTCAGCATCCAGCATTTGTGCAGTTTCTTTCCAGATATTTTTTTGTTGTGGATTTTTGTAACAGGGATAACTAGGATCATGTTTTGTATGAACTATTTTTGTCTTCATCGATGCATGCAATAAGAAGTTTCTTTTGAAGTTGTGAGGTGTGCTCTTAGAAGTTTTGAATGGATTTGATTAAACTTTTAAGCCTCTCGGTATAAACTAAATAATTTGATGGAGACGAGAAATCTACTTCCTGGTATGAGGAAGTACCAATAGTCTGCATCCAGTCATTTAATTAAACGCTCTTAGTTTTTGGGAATAAATGAATTGTGCTCTAATTTTTAGTTACCAATCTTTCATTACCATATTTTAATTTGACAAACTGGATCTTCTCGCCATTCTTTTTCCTATTTGGTGCGATTGCAGATCTTAAACTGCCCGAAGCGAAGCGGAGCAAAAAACAGCTCGGCTCCGAGGACAGTAACGTGTAGAGGATGTGGAACAGCTCTCATTGATTAACACGACAGACAAGAACGCCGCACAACGTACGTGAGCTGAGCGCTGACGGAGTATGTGGAATCTGGGGGTTTGCGTGCCACTTGCTTGGCCAGAAGCGCGTTCTCTGCATCACTGCGCTCCTGAACATGCCTCTACATAAGGATAACACGTAAATCTAATGCTCCGTTCGTGTCATTTGCGTTCTGTGTGAACACACCGTAACAAAGCAATATACATGTTCTCAGAACACACTTCAATCTTAAATACAGTCTTAGAGAGCAATCTAATATAACAACCATGAATAGAAAACCTGGGACAAACTCACATTGTCTGGAGAATCTCTGTCTGCTGAAGGTGCATCAAGTTGGTTCAATTCCTTCACCTTGCGTTTCTTCTTGGTTCCTGCTCCACTTCCTCCTCCTCCCTTTTCTCCTCCCACCGAAGCAGGGGAGCTCTTCTGTTGAAACTCCTTCAGCTGAGCAACAAACCAGTAAAACAAACAGGATGTAGAAAGAGGCTTTAACCATCTCCATGTTTGCAAAATGCTGTAATTCCTTTAGAAAGATTATACTTAATGCCATTTTTATAATGAAAATAGAGCATGTAGGGTGTGTCAGGCTCAATACACATTTCTAGACACTAAATTGCAGAAAAAATATATAATCTATAATGAGGTAAGTGAGAGATCTAACACTTAACCTCCTGAAGTTGTTTCCCTAAAGCCAACAACTAATGAGCAGGTTTATCAAGTTAAATTTTGTCCAACATGAAGAGGTGATTAACTTAACTTTCATAACTATACTAATGCAACATCAAGCTAAATTAGCTGAAAAAAACCCCATCAGGTCTAGAAAAAAACAAAAAAACCAGACAATATCTCAAATATGAACGAGAAAAAGAGAACATTTTAGACACGTGGCGTTGAAAACTGTTACAGGAAATTAAAAAGTAATCAAGAAACTTTAAAAGAGCTTTTAAATTTAAACAAAAAAAAAAAACTTATTTAGATGCGTGGGCTAAAAACTCAATTTTGACGAATACAGCCATTAAGTTTGGTCCAGTTTTCATATAAAATTCCAAAATAGCCTCTGTCTGGAAGGAGAAGAGGGGTGTCAGCTGTCAAAACAGTCTCCTTCATCCCACCCAGTTCACTATGCTACCAACCAAGCTAATTTCATAGATTCCTCTACTTTCTGGAAACGAGTGTTAGTAGCTTAATTTCTAAATCTGATATTTCAGCGAACATATCATAAAGCTGCCCTTCTAATATGTTACGGCATACGTAGCCAAACATCCATATGATTCTGATCCTGTTTGCTAACGTTAGCTCCTTAGCACATTAAAAATCGTCAATCAATCTGTCTACGGTAGTCAGTGGATACTGGAAAAACGTTTGGTAAACACCCGAGTTACTCATTTAGGCATACAGTTTAACAATATATCGTAAATACATTTTTCAACTAAGAATGTTGTACATAATCTGGGAAGGGTAATGCTATCAATAGAGGCCAAAAGACAGGCACCGGTTTTTCCTGCTCAGTGAACCCGCGATAAGAGCGCGAGAGGAGGAGGGAGCCACAGCGGAGAGGTCGGACGACGTGTAATGACAACAGCCGTGCTCAGTCAAGGAATTTATAATACCGCGAATATAAACACGTTTGAACTAAACTTAAGGATGCAACATTGGAGAAGTAAACAGCGTGACATTCAGCAGAGTCACTTTACCTTTTTCTTAGCTGCAGCGAGTTTAGTTTGCCTACTCTGGTCGGCCATCCTGCTGCTTCGGTGGTCAAGCGACCGAACCACGTCATCAATAGGTGCTTCTACCAGTAGGGGGCGCAAGGGTCATATTTACCCTGGATAGAGTCAAACATTAATCATTTTAGTTTAGTGTTAAATTATTGTCCTTCTTTCATTCTCTTTTAAATGAAACTTTAAGATTCTAACCGCTAATATTTCCATGAGGCGTATAGGTTCCAGCTTAAAGGAAAAATACCAGTCGTAGTTAGGATAGGATTGGGTTTTAAAACAATAATAACTGTTAACGTACACTCAAAAGGTCACGGATTATCTGTATTGTTTTTGTTTATTTTAGAAAATCAACGACAAAAAAAGTCTAAAAGTGAAAGTGGTCTATGACTGAAATGCAAGAAACTGAAAAAGGACAGTTTCACTTCCTGCTTACATTCCTAGACTACAGCAATATAGCTCCCCCTAGCGTTGAAAATAATTATCCACCTCCTGTAATTTACATCTGGAGAGGAAAAAGGAAGAGAAAATCATCAATGTATTTATGTAACAACAGCTTTGTGTAAACCTATTGGCACATTAGTTTCCCATTATTTACATTGGAATGTACAATTCTATTATGTTGAAATTCTAATAAAAGAGCTAAATCCAAAAGACATTTTCCATTTATTTATTTTTTTCTGTTATCCATAAGTAAGCGGACCTTTATCATTTTAAAAATAATATATGAGGCTAATGATGTTTTTTTTATTTTCAAACATTAGCATAAATACTGATTCTGTTTTAAAGCAAGCTACTTATACTGAAGCTGTCATTTTTTTGGACACTCGCTTTTAAATATATTTAGGCTTTTATTTTTCAAAGAGATTTTGTGTGGAAATTACTTAAAAAATTTGTATCACCTATTAATTAGAGAAGGTAGAAAGACAAATCATAGTTTATAGTGAAGTTATAGAACTGCTTACCAAGTCATCCTAAATTAAGAGCTTATGAAAAAATGTTTTTTATATTCATTCGTACATTATAAAATAAACCTAATTCTGCCAGCAAGGTTCAAGTTGTATCATATTCAAAGAAATGGAATCGTTCATTTGGAGCTTCTTGATTTAAGGCTTTTATAACAACACAGATACCATTTGAACCTAATTAATTATGAACATCTGCATTGATTGACCTTTTTACTTTATAGACTTCCTAAACTGGATCTTGGTTGTATTGATATTCTGTAGTTTTCATGGTGTTTCTAGAACTTTCTTGAAGTATCCACTACAATCCTAGATCCATAGGACAAACATTATTTCGTAAATGTACACATTTGTGTTTTTTCCAGTTAAAAAAGGCAAAAAGGTGCTATTTTAAAATGACTTTAGGCCCTCTATACTAACTGGCTAATTTTAATGTGATGGTCTAAATGGTTTGATGGTTAAAAAGTATGTTTGTTGGAGTATTAATTTGAAAATATGTGCAGTCCTTATTCAGAAACCCCAAAGTGAAAACATAAATCATCCTTTCAATAAAATGTCCCTGGTGAAGCATTTGCCCTTAGTCATATACAGGAATTTGGGGTATTAATACACAGTCATTAATTCATTGTTGTGATGCTATAACAGCATCCACATCAGCTGTCTTCAAATTGTAGCTTTATGTGGGATCATTTAGTAAATACGGATAGTTAACAAGGACAGTGCTGCAAGAAACTTCAAAATGTATGAAACATAAAGATCAGATGCCTCTTTGCAGAGCTGTAGAGTGGCGTGTCGTTGCACCAACTGCTTTGAGGTTTCTTTCCGACTGTCAGCCAATCAGCGTCGGCGCAGCGGTGGACGTGCAGATGACGTTGCCTCAAACCGATGTGTACAAATCAGCGTCGGACAGCGTGCTCGATGTAGCCAATCAGCCCCTTCCAGCGAACGGTCGCTTAGCCAATCCCAGAGCTCCACGACAGGAAAGCAATAACGGCTTATATATGGAGACCGCACACTTCTCCAAGCATCATTCTACACACCGAGGATAAAGCAGAAGATACGCAGCTCACTCAGCTAGAGGTTGACTGGTTCTCTTCTCCACCGAGGCCTTTATATTACTGACAGCGCTGTAGTAACGGTATGTACATGGAAATTACACATACGCTGATATATACACTAATATTTCGTGTTTCAAACGGCACTAATTGGGAATAAATTTTTTTTTTTGTCTTTTATTGGAATGGGGTTTCAGTTTGCCTTTAAATCTTTTATCCTATTTTGTTCTTTTGTGTTTGCTATTGAGCAGCAAATATCTGTTCAAATTAGCTTAAAATTTGGGCATTATTTATCCAATATATAACAATTTCATTACATCCTTTTCCTATGTGTCTTTTTCTCAAAATGACTGCGTTTCCTGTTTTTTGAGAGAGTTGGAAATTACAGCAATTCTATAGATGGGTTAAGGTATAGAAAGTCAACACAATGTATGATGGAAACTGTTTAAAGAGGTTGTTTTGTCTTTGCAGGTTTCTTTCATATCTGTGTGAAGAAAAAGCGAAAGAAAGATGAAGCTAGTGTGGCTTGCAGTGCTTCTGGTCGGCGCTGTGCATGCTGATGATGAGGACAAGAAGGACAGCGTGGGGACTGTGATCGGAATTGACCTGGGAACAACTTACTCATGGTAAATAACTAATTTCAAATTATACCGAAATATTTTTTTTGAACTGCCAAATAAGTGATTGGGGTAACCTTGATTTATGTTTACAGTGTTGGAGTCTTCAAGAATGGACGTGTGGAGATCATCGCCAATGACCAGGGTAACCGCATTACTCCTTCATATGTGGCCTTCACCAGCGAGGGCGAGCGTCTGATTGGTGATGCTGCAAAGAATCAGCTGACCTCTAACCCCGAGAACACAGTCTTTGATGCCAAGAGGCTGATTGGTCGCACATGGGGCGACTCCTCAGTGCAGCAGGATATCAAATACCTGCCATTCAAGGTTGGTACTGATTTCTTTTGTCGTTGCAGTAATGATCAGGAATTGTTTTGATTAGGTTCTGTTCCATAAAGGCCTTTTATTGACGCTCCTTTTCTATTTTAGGTTATTGAGAAGAAGAGTAAGCCTCACATCCAGGTTGACATTGGTGGTGGCCAGATCAAAACTTTTGCCCCTGAGGAGATTTCCGCTATGGTGCTGACCAAGATGAAGGAGACTGCTGAGGCTTATCTTGGCAAAAAGGTAAGAAACCTTCCCAAGGACCTCTTGAATTTAAATCTTAAATGTACATCTGAACCATACTAAACTGTTTCTTTCATGCTCAGGTTACACATGCTGTGGTCACTGTTCCTGCCTACTTTAATGATGCTCAGCGCCAGGCTACTAAGGATGCTGGAACCATTGCTGGTTTGAATGTCATGAGAATCATCAATGAGCCGTAAGTATTAATATGGCAAGAAGTTTACAGAAACACTTTTTATTTATCCTTTCAATTAACCTGTTATTTGTTTCCCTTTAAATTTAGAACTGCTGCTGCTATCGCTTATGGCCTGGATAAGAGGGACGGAGAGAAGAACATCCTCGTGTTTGATCTGGGCGGCGGCACCTTTGACGTTTCCCTTCTTACCATTGACAATGGTGTGTTCGAAGTGGTAGCCACCAACGGAGACACCCATCTGGGAGGTGAGGACTTCGACCAGCGTGTCATGGAGCACTTCATCAAGCTGTACAAGAAGAAAACTGGCAAGGATGTGCGCAAAGACAATCGCGCTGTGCAGAAGCTCCGTCGTGAGGTTGAGAAGGCAAAGAGGGCTCTGTCTGCCCAGCACCAGGCTCGTATTGAGATCGAGTCCTTCTTTGAGGGAGAAGACTTCTCAGAAACCCTGACCCGTGCCAAGTTTGAAGAGCTGAATATGGTAGGTTCAGCTTTTTTTTTTTTTTTTTTTTTTAAACTTTACAATGTTGCAATCAGCTTTTTGAGGGGAAAAAAAATTAACTGTTTTGTTTTTTATTTCCCCAAAATCCAGGACCTGTTCCGTGCTACAATGAAGCCTGTACAAAAAGTTCTTGAAGATTCAGACCTGAAGAAGCCTGATATTGATGAGATTGTCCTTGTTGGAGGCTCAACTCGTATCCCTAAGATCCAGCAGCTGGTGAAGGAGTTCTTCAACGGTAAAGAGCCATCCAGGGGCATCAATCCTGATGAGGCCGTGGCGTACGGAGCTGCTGTCCAGGCTGGAGTGCTTTCTGGAGAAGAGGACACTGGTAAGCTTACTTCACTACACTGAAATTGCTAAATTTGATGCTATTGAGCTTTTTCTAATCCTTTGCTAAATATCTACCTGCAGGAGAAGTGGTCCTTCTGGATGTCTGCCCCCTGACTCTTGGTATTGAGACTGTTGGAGGAGTCATGACCAAGCTGATCCCCAGGAACACTGTGGTGCCAACTAAGAAGTCCCAGATCTTCTCTACAGCTTCAGATAACCAGCCAACTGTCACAATTAAAGTTTATGAAGGTAAGAATTGGACACTCCAAATGCTTGTTTGAAATTTTAAAGTATGTGAAATAAAATATTGCAAAAGCCTTATCATATTTTTTATTTTATTTTTTTTTTATTTTTTTTTTTTTAGGTGAGCGTCCTCTCACAAAAGACAACCACCTGCTGGGCACCTTCGACCTGACTGGCATCCCCCCTGCCCCCCGTGGAGTTCCTCAAATTGAAGTCACCTTCGAAATTGATGTCAATGGCATTCTGCGCGTTACTGCTGAAGACAAGGGAACGGGCAACAAGAACAAGATCACCATCACAAACGACCAGAACCGCCTGACACCTGAAGATATTGAGCGAATGGTGAACGATGCCGAGCGCTTTGCCGATGAAGACAAGAAGCTGAAGGAGAGGATCGACGCCCGCAATGAGCTGGAGAGCTACGCCTACTCTCTGAAGAACCAAATCGGTGACAAGGAGAAGCTTGGAGGCAAACTGTCAGATGACGACAAGGAGGCCATTGAGAAGGCGGTTGAGGAGAAGATTGAGTGGATGGAGTCCCACCAAGATGCTGACTTAGAAGATTTCCAGGCCAAAAAGAAGGAGCTGGAGGAAGTTGTTCAGCCAATCATCAGCAAGCTCTACGGTAGTGCAGGTGGACCTCCACCAGAGGGTGCTGAGGAGCAGGAGAAAGATGAGTTATAGGCAGGCTTGAAGTCTTCAGTTGCCCCCTTCCCTTATGGTGGCATACACTTGAACTGATGGGACTCAATAGAGAGGAGTGGCAGGGTTGGGGTGACGATAACAAGCAAACATGCTGAGTTTTCTGAAAGACTTGAAGGGGGAAAAAAAACTTCAGTGTGAGAAATGTCCTTCGCTGCAAGGCGGAGATTCGTCAGCCCAGATGAGGCTTGTTGCTGCTGTTCTCAGGCAGTCTTGAAGGGGTTTTGTGAAAAGGGGCTTATTTGGGTGGGTGGGAAGATATTGAATAAAACACATGATGGGGTGTCTGTGGGATCAAAGGCTCTGTTCACAGGCAGCGTTCAGTTATTTATTGTACTTCTGGAAAGACACTGAAATAAATGTTTGATACAAACTGTTAACTGTTCTCATGATGCATTCATTTTTATGTTGTAAAAGATTTATTCAAATTAAACATTTTTAAAGACCATATATGGTTTCAGCACCTTATTTTAAGGACTTTATTGTCATGTCAAACTAGGTTGTTTTTTTTTTCTTCCAACTGAACACTTAGCTTTAGCTTAAAAGCTAGCAGTTTAACCAATAAGGTTACACTGGGGTCTTATCCTGAAGTTTAGGCTAGAATCAATGAGTATTTGTCTACAATAGTGTTGAACTTCCTGTAGACATGCGAAAACGTTCAATCCAAACCAGTTATATTAATTTAAAAATGAACCTTGTTTCACTGTATAAAACAATTTTATTTTACAACTGTCACAATACAGTCATTAAAGATGACACCTTGGGTGTCCATTCCTCCAAACACAAATGCTAGATTAATGGTTTCAAAGTCTGAACTGTAGCTATGGGTCCCATCTGCATTCTCGTCCCCATGAGGCTGCCATGGCAACAAACACATGGAATGGTCCAGGCGGTTTGGTGGCAAATCTCCATCAAATTTCATCAGGGTCCATCTCTTCTTCTCTGCAAACATAGAACATTAAATGCATCACAGGAGGAAAATTTGATTTCAAGATGATGGGAAGCTAGCAAAGTGTACCAGTGTTAAATCTGTGCATAGAGTTGATGGCACCATCTGCAGTCATCCCTCCGAATATGTAGATATTGGTTCCCTGTACCACTGCTGAATGAGCTGCTACTCCTGGGGGAATATCTCCTTTTGATTGCACTTTTTCCCACTTCATGAGGCCTTCAAATAAAGATTTCAATTTTAAATTAGTCTGAACTTCCACTGATCATACCAGAGTATATGTTTTTACCTTGGTAAGAGGCTTACCCGTGTCCAGGCAATGCATATCACTGAAGAACCTCTCTCCAGCCATCCCTCCATGAATATAAATCTTTGAGCCAACAGCAGCTATAATGTGTCCATGTCTGGATGCAGGTTGCCTACCTTGTGTTTCTGGCTGAAACCAAGTTGAAGAAACTGGAACACAGGTTTATTCAAGCAGAATTAGCATTAATCTCCATATTTTATAGCACAATGTTAGCCCAACAGTAACTGAGTCCTTTTTGCTTTTGAACACTTAAATCAGTCACAACTGTCTGATTAAAGTAAGACTGGTTCTGAAGTCAAATTAAATTGTTCTCTTCAGATCTTAAAACGGTTAATCCTCTAATTATCAAACTTTAATAATAATTGCTTATAAAAAAAGAAGAATATATAAATACTTGAAAAACTGGCAAGGGGAACAGTAAAAATATTTATTTGTGCTGTAATATTGTAATATTTTATAGGCATACTGGTTCCCCTCTTTTGCAATGACTGGGTGCTGGTAGAGGATCACTGAAAGAAATAAAGTGGCATATTTGCCTTTGAGACACGACTGAACTCTACGTTAGGAGAGAAATGCTTGTTTAAAACCTTCTTTTGTATAGCACTAGTATTTATAAGATCAGATCCACTTTAAAAATATTGATAAATGTCCAAATGGTTGAATCAGAATTGCTGATATAATTTTCACCCTGTGCATCTTAGGAAAAAGTGCCAAAATACAAACGTCTATTGACACTTGGTTCCTTAAACTCCATAAATTGCTCAGAAAGACAATGTTATTGGACTTAGGACCTCTTTTATTTTCTCTCTTCCTATAACATTTGTATAGTGTTTGTCTCACATCAACCTCTTAAGCTATCATGTTTGCTAAACCTCTTCTAATTTACTTCCATGTTGCAATCTGGGGTTATGATCTGTTGTTTTATTATGTCCTTGCAGGCTAAAAATACTCTGATTTTTTCTCTAAAATAAATGTATTTGTGTAAGAAAACAAAAAAATGAAAGTACAAATATTGGTACAGATGTATCATTGTTGTTAGTTGCCAGTTATTGACAGTGCAAGCAAATTAAACAACAAATAGCATATCTTCCTCATGACTATTTTGTTTCTGGTTCAAACTTCAAAAAGGGGGAAAGATAGTTTATTTTGCATTTGATGTAGATAGTTGAGTTTTACTTTTTATTTTGCTAAATTCTGAAATACTGCAAAACCATTTTTTGTTTACCTTAACGACCATCATTTTTGGGTGTACCTGTAGCATATTTGCATCTTTGTAACACTAATACATGGGTGTAATACTGATCTTACCCCTGTCTCTCATTTAAATTGATGTTATGATGATGATTTTATGATGATCAAAGATGTTGAAGAACAGGCTCATTGCATGCTAACCTGTGTCAAACACATGAAGTTTGGTGTCTGAGACGGGTGCAGCGCCTGCCTCCCCACCAGAAAACACATACAGTCTGTCTCCTATACAAGCTGAATTGGTGTGGTACGTCCTTGCACTTGGAGGTTCCCCGTTTGCTTCTACCTTCTTCCATTGAGGCTCCTTGTCTGAAAAAACAAAATAAAACAGCATTTTTATTCTGAAATTAGAAACTGCTGCTGATAAAAAGGGAATTTGAAGAGGATATTACCAGACAGCAGTATTTTCTGGATACATCTACGATTCCCTGTCTGCTGTGCCCCTCCAAACACCCACAGACACTGTGGACAACCTTCAGACACAAAACTGCAGTGTTCATATCGGGCATCTAAACCTTTCCAATCCGGTATGACCCACTCATGATTATCTGGTAAAGAGAAACAAAAATGGAATTTGCAGAAAAATCTGACATGTAGAAATAGTAGAAACTGTAATGTGATCATGTGGTTATGCTTGATATGTAAGAAGTACATCTTAAAAAGTTTCTGTGAATATTTGTACCAAGATTTATAACATATGACTCAGAGAAACTGCCACTGGGGTTGGCTCCACCGACGATTACGATTCTTCCTCTTCCTCCATCTTCAGAGGGAACAAACATGCAGGTATGACCCACACTAACACCTGGAGTGCTTCCACCTGGCATCAATGAATACCTGTCGACAGCAAGAAAATAAAATAAACAATGCTACATTATTAACATTAATAGCACAAATGATCGTTTTAATTATACGCACCAGACTCCATCTTTAGGTTTTTCTAGCGGGTCAAGAACGGGGAGAAACTCCATGGTGCTCAGCGGTGCAGTTTATTCATTCAAACTGTTTTTATTGACTCTTCACGAGATTTCTGTAGCAGGTATTCACAGAAGCTCTTACGTAGAAAGTAGTAAAAACAACAAAATATGACTTTGATTTATTGACCAAAATATGACTTTGATGTAATATTATCTTTCCCTTTCTCTAGACTAAAATTAAACTTTATTTTCAAGCCTTGGAAAACAGCTTCGTTTGTTTAGAAAGCTCGAAGTGGAGACCTGAATAACAGCATTAGCTCTACCGTAGCTTAGCATGTGTAGCACTTCCTCACTGCCAAACTATTTCTACGGAATAAATTTGGCAGAAAAAAAACTATAATATATTTTTTAACAGTTCGCTGGAAGTCTGTGTTAAATCATCTGCTAAAAGTGTAAAATAAACTTTCTACGTTTACTCACCAGCTTTGATATCTTGGACTAACCGTCCCCTTAGAGAAAGAAACATATCTGAGCATGCGCACGACAACCATGACAACTACGTCTGAATCCGATCAAGCAGCGTAGCTAACGTAAAAACATGCGCACAATTTATAGCGTAGAGCTCAACCCCAAAAAGTACGAAAAACTAATAAACTAACATTTCCACATTACTGGTTTAGATAAAGAGTTCACAAAATGAAAAAAATAAATAAATAAATTACCATAATTTGCGGCACTATATATAAACAATTTTTTTTTCATGTATTCATTCTCAGGTAATTGTGCCAGTTGATCAATTTAAACTCACGAGTCATATTATAAGGAACAAACAAAAACAAACAAACAAAACAAAACAACATAATAATAAATAAATACGGGCAGGCATAAATAAACACGATAAAAAAAAAAAAAAAAACAGCTGAAGGAAATTTAAAAAATGTTTTTGACCATACCCTCAGTTTCCCTACTATTTATGATTTGTTTGCCCTTACTATAGGTTAGATGTGTAATACATAAATAACATGCTTATCTAATTGATCGGGTGATAACTAAGGATTAATGGATAGCTACACCATTTGACAAATTTAATTATTTTTATTTTAGTTATCACTATTTGGCCACAATATAGTTACATTTAATATAATATGGTGTTAATTATTTTTTGTTTTATGAAACTTTAGTGTGAATGTGTAGATTTTCTTACAACTGTTTAATTTTTTTAATCATATATATTTTTTTTAATCTTGTAGCTTTTTATTTTTTGAAGGTTTCTGTTAAATGCATCGTATTTATACTGCCAGTTTTGAATTTGACCGTTTAATAATGTGTCACAGTGCACGATAATTCAAGCGCAATGATTGCAATTCACAAAGTGTCCACTAAGCTGTGCTATTGTGTTAAAATAGAGTAAGCGGAATTTTAGATGTAGGGTAACCATTATTAACCCCATGTAGGTGGAACTCTGCTTTACTGACCAGATTTATCTGATTTAGTATCAATCTCATTTTGTTGTCCTGAATTAGGAGGTAAACTCCACAAGTTGATTAGAAAATTTCTTATATTTCCTCAGTATTTAATCTTTTCTTCCTACTTCATCTACATTTTTTTTTTCTTGTTTTGAATTGGATCTGAGTTACTTGCTGATTTGGAACATACGTTTCTAAATGAGTTAGAGCTATTTTGTGTGTAATCCTCTTGGTCTCTAAACACAGTGGGTCATCACTTTTCTACTTTTCTTCAATTTTCAACAATTCTATTCACAATAAAATATCTTGTATAAACATACGTTGATACGCTTTTGTGAACTAGAATTATGCATCTGAATTATTCTACATTATTCGATATTTTGCTGAATTTCTACTTTTCTCATTTTGTTGCAGAACAACCACACGATTAAGAGTACTTTATTGGAGGATTTTATGTGATAGACCAACAGAGGGCCCCATAGGTTTGTGAAACGACAGGAAAATGGTTCTCAGACTTTTTTGCAGTCATAAAATCTAAAATCCAGTTTCATCAGTTGCCTTCAGATTTTGAATGCCTTAGAAGTTTGTTAGAAAAAAATAGGGAACTTATAGCACCATAAAGACCAAGAGAGACATCAGATAGATAAGGGATTAGATTGTTGGAAATTGTTACAGGTCATGTAAAAACATTGATAGATGTTATAGTAATAACATCTAACACCTCATGGGGGACTTTTTAAACCTTCATCTAAAGAAAAAGTACAGAGACAAGGTCAACTGCCTAAACTAACAGGCTAGAGAAGCCATAGGTTTTTGGATTTCCAGTATCGTGGAATTGTTACTTTTCTGGACTTCCAGAAACCTATGGCTCAGGTGGTAAAATCGTTTAACAGGACAACTAAGATTGTGCTCTAAACAAATGTTTGCATGAAGGAAGAGGGATGAGAAGGAAGTTACTGTTGAAAGAAAGCCATAAGAAACCTTGTTTGCCGTTTTCAACAAGTCATCACTCTGCAAACTTGTGGAAGAAAGTTTTTTGGTTATGTAACCTATAAATAATCAACATGAGGGGCAGTTGTAATATTCTAGAGTGAAAAATGTGACATAGAGACATTAATAGTTTCCAAGGCATCATGTTTCTGTTAAAAACTAAGAACATTTCTTATCAAATGAGTTGCTCTACATAATTGACTGACATGTGGAAGTCCTGTTTGGCTTCCCGTTTGGGAAGGCCGTGTAGACGTTTCGGAGAACTCCTTTGTTTTCCTTTCCTTCAAGCTGATAAAGACTTATTGAATCAGGGATTTTTCTTTGGCAGGTTAGAATCAGAGGACAAAGGTGAATGATCAAGAGTTTTTAAAGTCCTGAGAAACAGAGAAGAGTCAGGATAAAGAGATAACTGGATATATCACTTTTTGACAACCTAAAATAATCTAATTGAAGCCTCTTTTCGTTGAGAGCATTGCATCTGTACCATACATGCTGAGATTCTGGCCAAGCATGACTGAATCTATCTGCCACATCCCTTTTAAATAAGGCCTTGATTTTGCTGCTGTCTTGATAAGCGGGTCAACCAGTAATCAGGATTAAAATTCAAAGTTCATCCTTGGGTTACTGGTGCACTGCTGTTGGGCAATATGTCCACACAATGTGAAGCAGATATTGCTGTCGTGTCACATTTCACCTTGAGGTGTGTTAAATCATCATCTACTCTACTATAATCGGGATTATTGCTGCATTAAAAAAACACAGGATTGTTTGTATTTTTTTCCTCTGTTATTGAACACATTTACAGATTATTTAATCTGGGTATTAACTGGATTTCACACTATGTTGAAGCCAATGTCTGCTGATGTCTGTCATTCCTTGCCGATTAGATTTTACAGGAACTTGCGCTGGATTTACTTTATCTTTAAAATAAATGCTTTTCTTCATCGTTGAACATAATCAGTAATGAATTTCATTGTTTAATTATAAACAGTCTCATTTTGAAGAAAATCAAAAGCCCTAATTTGTTGCTCAAATTCATCTCGTGGAAAAACTTTCGCTTTCACAATTTTTTTTGTCAATTATTACATTTGGAAACAAAAGCTATATTAACAAAATTTAATATTTATAATTTGTCATTTTCTTTAGGTTTTCATTTAAGAATGCTATTTAAAGAAATAAAAAAACATATATATATTTTTCTTTTGGTACAGGCTAATTGAAATAATCATCAGAATTTGTTGTACAATATTAAAAAAGCCATAGGAGTCAAAAACTGAGATAAGGAGGATAAATGGAAATTTAGTCCGCAATAGTCAAAGATCCTATGATCCATAGGAAATCTGTTTTGCGGTAAGAAATACTATCCAAATGCTGGCCCAGAGAAGGTCCCATGGGGTCTGACCATCCTCCTCTCCCTTACAGTCCTTGAATCTGTGCAAAATAGATTTATATAATGCTGTCTCCACCAGAGCATCTGTCCTCTCTTTCAAATTCAGATCTGATTTGTCTCCAGTGTTTCAAAATAATCAAGGAAGCAGAAAGTAGACAAATCATTATAACAAAAAGCATTCTTTTAAGCACCTTCAGTGTTGGGATCTGCCCCCCATCAAACATACAGCTGGAGTCAGAGGGATTATTTTCTTATCTACTATACTACTCTAGCTCAAAACAGATTAAAGATTTTGCAATCCCATAAATAATGTAAAAAGGTGCCTTGTTCCAGTTCATATCTCCATCACTCATTTTTTTTGTCAGTTTTATTTTGTGTGATCCCACAGGAGTATAATATGATTTATGTAAGCCCTTTGTTTTGTATAAACTCCCTACTTGTCATATAGTTTCCAAAATCCTAAGACATTTTCCTTTTCATTTATTTATTCAGAGATCCTTTTGCAAAAGCATTGGGAAGCTTGCTTTATATCTAATTGTTGTTACTTTTGCTACTAATTTGATAGTCTCTGAATATTTTTTTTGATCAAATTAGAATTTTAGATTGTGGCACTGTTTCTGATGTAAATGTATTTTATGTTTTCTTTCTTTACATTGTGTAGTAAAACTAATGCCGAATGAATTTCAAATGTACTAACATCTGCTATCCAAAGGAAGCTGTTTAGGTACTATCAAACATCATTAGAAATAATGAAATCATAAATCAATGCTCTTTATGTTATGTACGCTTGTGTGTGTGTACATATCTGGATGTATATATGTATGTAAAACGGATTATTTTTTATTTTATTTTTATTTATTTATTTTTATTTTTTGTCTCTATTTTATATATATGTGTATGTATATATGTGTATATATATCTTTATATTTAGTTTTTTTGTTTATTACCTTCAATTATCTGCTCCTGCTGGATTGGTGTCCAAACTGCTATTGGGATGGGGGTTTAAAATATAAATATGAATATAATGTCTCTTGTAATGGAAATTATTTAATGTACCATTGATGCTCAATAATAAAAAAAAGGAAAAAAAAAAGAAATAATTAAATCATTAAGATGCATGGTTGTTTTTAAATTAATCATAATTATTTTTACATCTATTGGTGTACACCTTGTCTAGGTTTTAATTATATGCTGAGGTATGCACAAGCAGGCATCAGGTTTCTTTGCTGTCCTGTTTATTGAGGCAACCCGTCTACAGAAGAAGCGCACCACCTCTGTCCAAGATGACTTGTCAATATCAGAAGCCTCCAGATCAGTCTTCTAAAACGTCTTCTTTTGCCATCAGTACATATGGTGAGAATAATTTAATCATTTTGGCTTTTTTCAGAAGTTATGCCAGTAGTTGTGGAACATGTGCTACATAAATGTATATTTGTGTGAATCAAAATGAATGCAAAAGCTTTTAGTGTAATTTCAGCACATCCAGTATATCATCTCTCCATCAGTGAGGATGATGGCATGTTTCTATGTTATATTCTTATGTCATGAATGTCTGATGCTGCAGATACTCAATCCTAAAGCAATGTGTTCAACAACTAAAAGCACATTCTACAATGCATCTAGTAGACTTCAGTGGAGTGACATGTTCCCTATTCTGGTAATGAGACTTCTCCTCTTCATCTGGTAACGCAATGAATTATTTA